TATATGGTTATGAAATTGTTTTCATATAATATTTAATAAAATTTTAATAAAACTGTTTCATATATTTCTCTAAAATTAAAATAATAAAGATGATAATATCCATGATTAACACCCTCCACAATAAAAATGGTTAATCAACCTCTCATAATTACAAAAAATTGAACAAAATGAAAAATTATGATTGGTTGAATAAGATTTTCTCGGTTTGTACAAATTGAGTGACTTTTATTTGAACGCTCATTTCTGTGTGTGTGTGTGTGTGTGTGTGTGTGTGTATATAGTGAGAGAATAGATTCAAATACAAAACCATGTCATTCATACAAACCAATTTTAACGGTCCATCTACTTTAATGAATATTTGGTTTCATAAACATCTTGATTGTTTTCTACTATAAAACGTTGATCATAATTAACAAACCTTAATTATATTTTATAAATAATCAAATCATAGTTAATGAACTTTATCATTTTCATAAATATCTCAATAGATTGATTTATATGTTTTGTATGAATGACATGATTTATATTTTAAACCTCCTATATAGAATTGGTTTCCAGTAAGAATAGTAGTTATCGTGAGAAGGGTAAGAAGGGATCTACACTCTTTGATCACTCATAAGCTCAATCGAAAATACCATCCCCCAAGTTAATTCATGGGTTGTTTTGGGACTTAATATGAACTTTTAATTCAACACTAATTAAAAGTGATCAATGATCCAAATTTCTTCTTACACTTCTCACCTTAACTCTTGTTCTTAGACGATCTTTCGTATGTATGTGTGTACATATACACACACACACACACACATATATATATATATATGTGTGTGTGTGTGTGTGTATGTGTGTGAATACACATTAAAATAATGAAAATGGTTGGATTTCACAGTTATCACAAATAACAAGGTCCAATATTTTAACGAGTATTCACAGTATGAATTACCATGTCATTTAATGTTGAAGACATAAGACACTCGTGTCTTTGATCAATGAGTACTAAAAGTATAAATCACCATGTTTCAGATTAATGTTTGAAATAGAAAACACATTAGTTTGAATTAAGCAAGTAATCACAATATAAATTACTATATATGGGTTCAATATATGCGACTATGCAGCGAGACACATCTCGATTTTAATATTCTATTTTATTATTTGTTTGTGTCGATGTTATAATACGATTTTATGTGTTTTTAAGGAAGCAATAATGATTTTATTTTTGAATATAATATAAACGTGAAGATATCATAAAATTTTGAAAAAAAATATATCATTGTTAATATCAAATCAACTATTTAAAAGTTCTCATTTTTTATGTAATTTCTTTAAATTTTTTTTATTATAATCTAATTTAAGTTTAATAACGAAATAATTTATTTTTTGTTTAATAACATAACATTTTATAAAAATAATAATTAAGTATTCTGTTAGAACTCAATGATTATCCTAATTATATTTTAGATTTTTTATATTTAAAATGAGATGTTTATCCTGTATTTGATTATGTTTATCTGCAGTTAGTTGCACGAATTCAAATATGAAGCTTTAATAAATTGTACTTACGCACAATCTACTTGAAATCTTGAGCTTAAGTAATATGCATTAATAAACAGTACTTTACGCATAAAAGTGGTTTTTAAGAGTTTTTATCAAATGTTTTATCTATACTATATTATAAAGCATTTGACAAAAAACTCTTAAAACCCATTTTTTATGCATGGAGTATTGTTTATTGATGCATATTACTTTAAATTCAAGATTACAAGTAAATTATGTGTAAGTATAACTTATTAAAGCTTCATGTTTGAATTCGTGTAACTAAGGGGCTGTTTGTTTGGCTCTTAATGGTGACATTAAGAGTCAACCTCTTAATCGATAAGATGTAAGGGTTGTTTGGCAAAAAAAAAAAAAAAAACCTATTAATGGTTACAAAAGGCTCTTAACGATTTAGTGTTTAGGGCTCCCCTAAATGATTCAGAGGGGTCTTCTTCCATTTTTGCCCCCTCTCCTCCAACTTCAACAGGCAACAGTCGCTGCTCGTTCCACGCCTCCCACTCTCCTTCCTTCTTCCAATCGATCTCGCCTCTTCCCACGCCTCCCACCCTCCTTCCTCCTTCCACCTTCCTCCTTCCAATCGATCTCAACTCCTCCCATGAGTTGTTGCCTCCCACGAATTGTTGTTGTGTCGCCTTCCACAAGTTGATTCAAAGGGGTTTGCTGTGTTGATCGTTCCTCCCACCCTTGTTCCTTCTTCTGCCTTCCACAGCCCCCTTGCTGCTGTGTCGTTTCCCTGCTGTCTCCATTTTCTTTGCCAATTGCCCTGGCTTGTTCTTGGGTTAATGTCGTGCTTGCACCAAATGCCATGACTAGTATATCTTTTACTTCATATTTAATTTTCTTGTAGGGGGAGCAGGGGGTGGGGAAGGGATCGATTGGAAGTTTCTGTTTATGGAAATGTTTCTGTTTCCATTTATTTATCTTCATCTTGTTAGTATATCTGATATATCTGGAAAATGTGGATGAAAAAATAGTTATGGGTGTTGCTACTACAGCTGTTTCGTTGACATTACAGTAAACCCTTGGCAATCAGAATGCTTAGATATTTGAGAACGAATCTGATAACTTATTATTAATTGTGGATGAAAGTTATCTATCTTTAAGGTGATCGAAAGCTGGGGTTGGACGGGTATATGATATACGTCTTGGTTTATTCAGTACTAAATCATACAGAAGGTTAAAATGGTAATTTGTTGTCATTCAGAGAACAATTACCAAACAACCTTGTTTCATTCGGCACTTAACCATTCTGACCCTCTTAACCATTCTGACCTTTTAACTATTATACACTAAATCATTCAGCAACTGCCAAACAGTCCCTAACTGTAGATAAACATAATCTTAGAGGATAAACATCTTATTTTAATTATAAAATATCAAAAATATAAGTAAGATAATTATTGTGTTTTAACAGAATACTTAATTATTATCTTAAAAAAATATTTTATTAAATCAAAAATAAATTAATTCATATTTAAACTTCAATCAAATTATAATAATAAATTAAATTAAAAAAATTACATAAAACGATAACTTTTAGATAGTTAATTTGATACTAATATCGCATATTTTTTTCAACATTTTATAATATTTTCAAAACCATTTTATTTTTCTCAAAACCACATAAATTGCATTATAACATCGATAGACTCAAAATATAAAACGAAAAATTAAAAACAAAATATATATTACTGCATTACATGAGTACCCTTCTAGTAATATAATACAGATGTGTATGCTATTGACTCATTAACATTGAAAAACATGGATCCCATTAAAAAAAAATGGAGTGGATAATGAAGTATTTTCGTGGCCCTCATCAAATATTTTTAGTTCCTTTACAAATTTGCCCTTATCTCAAAATGGCAAAAACAATAATAATAATAATAATAATAATAATAATAATAATAATAATAATAATAATAATAATAATAATAATAATAATAATAATAATAAATATTATTTTTTATCCATTTTATGTGGCGCCAAAATGTCTTTTAAATTTGTGTACTCTCTTTATACTATTTTTTTGAATTTAATTTTAAAACTAATTATCAAAGGTCAAAATTGTAAAATTACTTTACATGTAAAAAATAATCCTCAATAAGTTAAGTTAAATTTAACCCTTGTTATAAATATAATATAAAAATGAATTAATGATGTCATAATTAATCGTATAAAAAATACCAGATAAATAACTTGTCCTGTCTGGTTTTATAAAATCCTGCTCACGCACTAAACGCATACTTAATAATCAGTTTAAATCTTGATAGTAAATATCATAATGATATAATTATAATTCATCTGTTGTTTCAAAATAAAACTCGTATATGTTTCTGACCAATAATTCAATCTTTATTAAAACCCATATAAAAAGTTACCTTCTTTAAACGTTAGAAAAAACTACCATGTGTTTTTGTTTTAGGAAAACGTATTTTTTAACGACCATTTTATAAATAAAAAAACGTTACATTATTTATGACAAGATTTTGTTAAAAAATTCGAATATCGATTCAATTAATGATTATGACGATATATTTGTACAAAAATATTCATTGGAAGGAAAGTCAGTCTTTTCTGGTAAAAAAAAACTTGCTTGAAATAGGGTTTCGAGCATCGCCAACAGATTTTGTAATATGAAGAAATTAAAGATTTTTGAGTAAATCTTTTCGTTTTAACAGATTTTTCAAAATGGAGTAAATAGAAGAGAGACTGTAAGAGCATCTTCAACCAGATACTTCAAAATGAAGAAAATAGAGATTTTGAGTAAAACTTTGTTACAACAGATTTTCTAAAATGGAAAAAGTATGAGAGAGAAAGTGAAATTCTACAAATTTGAAGAACTCCAAACATATATATACCATGAGAGAGAACAGTTTTTTAATTATATTTTCACTGATAAAAAAACCTTAATATTAACTGTTTATTAGAGAAAATAATATTTTATTACATGTATAAATTATTTCAATAATATAATTAATGATATAATCTCCAAAATAAAGTATCTGTTAGAGATAATGTAATTTTTCTTATTGAATATTTTGAGTTTTGATTCTTCAAATTTGAATAAACTCACAAAAATATCGAAATATTCAATATAAAAAATAAATAATAATTTAATTAAATTTAAGAGGTGTTTAAGATTACTTATAAAAACAACGTGTTGACTTATTTCAGTGTGACACTGATAATAAACATTTTTAAGTGTTTAGATAAATAACTTATACTGGTAACAAAGATTTTTTAAAGAAGTTAAAGCCTTCTGATTTATAATAAGTTGACAAGTACTTTTATAAAAATAAATAAAGTAGTGAAAATTGGGAATGGATGCTTAGATCCATGAAAAGGGGAATTATATATAGAAACTATTTCTAAATGCATATTAGGTCATTTTATATGAACACTGTAATTCTCTAATTTTCCCTACCAACCCCCCCATCGCTTTCTCTCTCTAGCAGTTCTGCCAAGATTTTAGAGAGAGAAACACACACACACGCACCCAGAAACAGATGAGTGAGTGAAGCAGCAAACTAGAGACGATTGATTGATTAATTGATCGATCGATCGATCGATTTCTCTTGGTATCGAAGAACTCACCTGGTAATTACTCTTTTTTTCATTTAAAAAACCCTACTCAGAATCCCTTTTTCTTCCTCGTTTTTATCGCCATTTTCGCCTCTTTTTGTTCATCGAATTTAATGCGTTGAATCCGTCTTGCTATTACATTGGTTTTTAGGGCAAACGCCATTTTATGTTGATCTTATTTTTGTTTTGTATGTAGAAAAGGGACTTTCGATTTGAGTTTTCTTATAATCTCTCGGTGGTGTTATTTGAATGGATACAAGAAGATTATCGGATAAAAATGGAGATGGGTTATTTCCAAATTCTGGAATCGGGTTTCTTTGGTGTCCTAGAGATGATCATCTTCCACAATCTGGGGGTTTATTTGCAAGTGTTGGACAAATGGGCAAAGGGGGTTTTGGTGGAGTTTCCCCTAATTCTAAAAATTCAGGTACTAATGATGGTGGTGGTGATATGAAATTTCCGTTTTCATCGAAATTTGTTTCGGCACCTGAATCAAGTTTTAGGGTTCTTGAGGTTCCAGAAATGGAGGAGGAGGCAGGGGAGGAGTGGGTAGGGGGGTTGAAGAAGAAGAAGAAGAAGAAGGGTGGGGGGAAATTGAAAATCAAGATTGGGAATCCATCGTTAAGGCGGTTGATCAGTGGGGCGATAGCGGGGGCTGTATCGAGAACTTCGGTTGCTCCATTGGAGACTATAAGGACTCATTTGATGGTAGGAAGTTGTGGGCATTCTACGATCGAGGTTTTCCAAGATATTATGCAGACTGAAGGTTGGACCGGGCTTTTTAGGGGCAATTTCGTCAACGTCATTCGCGTCGCCCCTAGCAAGGCAATTGAGGTACAAGAAAACTACCTTTGGGAATCAAGTTTTGCTATAAAAGTGTTGCATATGCATACATATCTTATGTAGCTAACTGTTTTGTCGATAATCTTGTGGGAAGATATGATTTGGGTTGTTTTCTGATACTCTTTCTTCGGTTTGTGATTCCAATTATGCCATTTTGAAGGCAATTGAGGTGCAAGAAAAGCTCTTGTGGAATCAAAAACCGTTGCGTATACATACATATCTTATATCTAACTATTGTTTTCATAATCTTGTGGGAAGATATGATTCGGGTTGTTTTCTGATACTATATTTCTTTGGTTTATGCTTCTAAAAATGCGATTTTGAAGGATTCTATAAGGACATGAAACTAGCTGAAATGTGAAGTTTGATCATCCACAAGCAAATGCCCACAAGATCACACACTCACCTTCCATCACATACTTGCAAGATTTCAGTTTAATGCAAGTATAGAAATTTGAATTAGGGACTGTTTGGTTGGTTTTTCATTAAGTTCTGTATGGATAAAGCTATCTGTATTGATTGGAAAGTTTTTGTTTGGGAGAGTTTGTTCATAGATGGAAGAAGCCTGTTTTTCTTTAATTAGGAGGGGCGGGTCTAGAAAAAACTTGGCTTTCTGGATAAAGCCTCCTCCAGAAAGCTTACTGAATAAGTAGCTTTTTATATCGTTAAGCCAGTACCAAACAGTCATGTATAGCTTACTGAATAAGTTTCGAGTCATACTAAGCTCATTAAGCTGCCAACAAACAGACCATTATTTTGGGACGAACTAAATTACAAATGTGGACACTTATTTGTGACGGATATATATATTTTGCTTATAGCCACATGAAATATATAATGTCGTGTTTCCGCAGTTATTTGCTTATGATACGGTGAAGAAGAATTTGGCTCCGAAGCCTGGAGAACAAGCAAAACTTCGTATACCCGAGTCATTGATTGCTGGCGCCGTTGCTGGAATTAGCTCGACTATATGCACGTACCCTCTTGAGTTGCTCAAAACCCGACTTACGGTTCAGGTACCATTGACTCTCATCATTTCAAATGATTTCAAATCTGCAATTACATATAGCATTCTTTGTTCTTATTTCAAAATGATAAGTTACTCATATAACCGTGTTTTATCCAGAGGGGTGTGTACAAGAATCTCGTAGATGCTTTTATCAAGATCGTGAAAGACGAGGGCCCTGCCGAACTCTACCGTGGCCTCACACCGAGCCTAATTGGCGTCGTCCCTTATGCCGCTACAAACTATTTTGCGTACGACACATTACGCAAAGCCTACAAGAAATTCTCGAAAGATGATGAAATCGGAAACATTGCAACGCTCCTAATCGGGTCGGCGGCCGGTGCGATCTCGAGCAGCGCGACTTTCCCGCTCGAGGTGGCTCGGAAACACATGCAAGCGGGTGCGGTGAACGGAAGAGTCTACGATAACATGTTACACGCACTTTTAAGCATTCTCGAGAAGGAAGGCGTCGGAGGGTTGTACAAAGGTTTGGGGCCGAGTTGTATAAAGATAGTGCCGGCTGCGGGGATTTCGTTCATGTGCTATGAAGCGTGCAAGAAGATACTTGTCGAGAAGGAAGACGATGAACCGTAGGAACGAGAACGGGCCCCGAGGGGAACGTCGAGGGTATTTTTGCTCGGATTTTCGTTGGTCGTTTTTGAACGAGAATAAAGTATTTTTGATGATTTTGTGGTTAGACAAGATTTTTAGGGCATTATGATGGTAGGATTTGCTTCCGGTTTATGCAACTTAGCTCAATTTGAAAGAGAGAAAAAAGAGTTGTGATTTTAGTTGTTTTTTTTTTATTAACCTATTTAATCTGCTATGCGGGTCGACTAATTCCAGGACGACCACCTGCTTTGCGGGCAGCATGGAGTTAATGCATTTGAATCTTCATGGCCACAAGGGGATTTTTATTCCTTCTAGGATTTGAATATGAGACCTTTGACCTTTGCAGCACAAGCTTAAACCAGTCAGGCACCACCCATATGGTTGTTATCTTTTTGAGTTCATTAAGGGGCGTTTGGTACCCTGGACAGGACAGAGATCTTTGTCTCATGTTTGACATGAATTTTATGTAGAACAGACAGGAACAGAGTGAAACAAAGTGGAACAAGCATATTCCATCCCTACCCCATGGAACAGGGTGGAACAAGATGGAACATACTTATATTTTATCAATATAACCTCAAAATAAAACTTAATTCTCTTCTAAAACATCAAATAGGTCTCTTTTTTTACATTTTATTCATTCTTTAAATTTTATTTATTGTATTTTATGTTTCTTAAACTTTCATTTTACTCTCCTCAAAATATTATTTTTATACGGTTTTTATATTTTTATTAATTTATGTAATTTATTATATATTAATAATGAAAAATAATGTAGAAAAAAGATAAAAATAAAAATAGAAAACTACATAAATTTTTTATTTGGTGTCATTTTAATTGTTTTGACGAAAACTTTAAATGATATATTTTGTTATAAAAAATAATTATTCTATTATAATTTAACAAATTACATAAATTAATTATAATAACTCATCAGGGATAAATTGGTCATTTTACTTGTTTTGTTCTATCCAGCTTTATCTTACCAAACGCTAAACAGTTGTTCTATCATGTCATGTCTCGTACTGTTCTGTTCTATTCTATTCTGTCTTGTCTAGGCACCAAACACACCCTAATTTTTTTTTTTTTGGTATTGGACACATCCTCTAAAGTTTGAAAGCATAGTTTTTAAATGAATACAGTAAAAAGGTTGAAAATGCAAAACAAAAAAAAAAAAAAAAAACATATAAAGATTATACCTGTCGAATTAAAGATGATAAGATTTGTTTTCCTGTCATGGATGAATTTAGTGTGTTTGGTTTGTTCGATCCGAAATACAATTGAATTCCCTTTTTTATAAATCTTGTTTAGTTTATGGAATTTAAATTTTTATAAATATCTGTTTGTTTTATAAATAATTTTATTGCTTAGAGACAATGGAGAAATTAGTGAAGATTTTATAAAAGAGTCGGGGTTGAAATTCAACAGAAACAATTGAAATCCATGGGATTTGGGATTTCTAAAACCGTCGGTCATTGGATTTAATTAAAATCTCGGGTTTTAAATCCAAGCTTTTTTTTTAAATCATACTAAGGTTTAGAACAGAGTTCAATTTTAAATCCTATCAAATCCCACCAAATCCTACAAACCAAACAAATTCTTAGGGGACGTTTTGTTTGATGGGATGATTTTGAAAGATTTGGAATTGGAAGAATTTAGAATGTTTTTGGTGTGTTTGGTTTAATAGGATTTGGAATGAAATGAAATTCTATTTTTTATAAAAACAAATTATAAAAATAATTAAATTACATGTTTATTAATGAATTATTAAAAAATAAATGTTTTTAACATATTTTAAAACATTATTATATACAAATCATACGAAATCTCGTAAAATCCCAACCACCCAGAAGGATTTTAAAATCCTATGTTTATGAAATTTCAATAGAATCCTAAGATTTCAAATCCAAAGAATCATGCATACAAAATACGGGATTGGAATAGATTTGAAATCTAAACCGCCCCAATTTCATTATATTCCTGCAAACCAAACAGACCTTTAAAACACCTATTAGGTTTGACAGAATGTTTAGTAATTGAATTTCGTAAAAAGATTTGGATTTAGAATCTTTGATGTGTTTGGTTTGTAGGATATATAATAGAATTGAATTCGATTCTTTATATATAATTTATAAAAACAAATTATAAATAATAATAAAAACAATTACATTGTCTTTTTATCAATTAATTATTAAAAAACAAGTGTTTTTAACATATTTTAAAACATCATTACAAACAAATCCTACGAAATTCCGCAAAACACCGACCACCCATGTTTGTTGGATTTCTAAATCCCATGTTTGTCGGATTTCAAATCCATTTAATCCCTCAAATCAAACATTGAGTTGTATTCCAAACCCTATCGAATCCTACAAACCAAACGGAGCCTTCGTAATTTTCGATTAAAAGCGGGGTTTAAGCCCAATAGTTGACATATTTTTCACATTTTTCAGCAATTTTTACCATTTTCATTTGAATTTCACAATCTAAACATGTTTTATTGTTGAAATGCATGTGTTTTGGAGTCATTAAGATTTGTGGATTTATGAACACCAAAACCTTGAAAGAAACATAATGAAATCAAAGAACAGGATTATGCTAATATGACATCTCTAACAAGCATTTGCTACCAGATTAGATTCATTATGAAACAAAACACCAAACGAAAACGACGTCTAAAATAACTGTTCCCGAGGGACCACGATACCCTCTTTCTTACCTCTGCTCTTCACCATTCGCAAGCTCCCTTTCCTCCTCAGCCGCAGCCATCAGTTCATCAAATTTATCAGTCTTCCCGAGTAATATCTCGATCTAAATAACAACCAACTCATAAATGTTATATGACTTTATACATCAAAATTTAACACAATTTCATTTAAGCAACAATTTCCTATCTATCAATACTCTTTCAAGGTAGAGGCCAGGGCGACCATCTACTTTGCATATAGCCCGGAGTCACCGTATTTGAACCTCCGTGGCCACAAGGGGATTTTTATTCCTCCTTGGATTTGAACCTAGGACCTCCTAGTATTTTTGATCTTTGGAGCCAAGCTCAAACCAATCAGGCACCACCCTTGTGGTTAAGTCTAGATTAGCTTTTCGGACCATCACACTTGGCTTCTTTGTCGCAAACACTCGTTATTGCAAAAATAACACCTCGCTTGACGATAAAATGCGCGGCATTGGACAAAAGTTGCAGAGCAGGATGGTTAACGAGTTTGGACAAACCTACGAGGACCGATCCGAACCATTTAACAAGTTTCAGCTAAGATTCAAATTGTTTCACATGTTACATGTTCTTTTTTCACATGCAAAACAATCCTAAACGTCTCATATATGAAACAATTTCATATGTATGGCTCCATATGTGAAACAGCATTTGAAAGCTGGCTCATATGTGAATCCTAACTTAAAATGAAACTCATTGAAATGGTAGGGATTGGTTCTCATGCTTTTGTAACATTTGTGGTTTTTATTTAATCCTCTCCCCCTATATATATCAAAAGAAATGCAGAAAACTTATGGAATCCTACTGTATCTTGTTGTATAGCATGTCTAACATGATAGAAACCATCTAAGCGTCAAAATACCAACTCACCTTGGCTTTTTGGATGGGTCGTCCTCTAGATTCATCTTTCATGTCAACAGTAGATGTCATAATCTCTGCAGTGGTTTTCTAATCATCGTTAACAAAAAAGAATACATAGTATTCACATGTGCAACACTGATAGAGAGCACATTCACAAAGAACAGTCATAAACATCCTTACTCTTCTCGATGGCGAATCCACTGTTCTTGAGAATTTCAGCAATTGTGACAACTGTGGCAATTGCTGCAGGAATAACAAAAATAACTCATGCATATCAAAATATGTAGTTTAGCTACACCTTTATGAATCATAAAACTGAAAGGGCCGTCTATAAGACATTAGTAGCATTCATTTGATTGCTGTCTAATCAATTCCATGAGTCTTTGGCAACTAATTGTTTATCAATCAATAATGAATTGATGACAGAAGATTAAAACCAGACCAAACAGACCCATTCTATTCCACTCAAAGGCCGCCCCCCCCCCCCCCCCCCCCCCCGGGGGGGGGATGTAGGCAGGCCATATTTCCTAGAAGACCCCTGGCTTGCATTTAAGAAAAGAAACATAGCTAGAAAGCACAATGATAGCCACAAATCAGCAATTAATGACATAAAACTGATGGTGCCAACAAACTTTTTCACCATGAACACAAGTAGTCAACCGTTTGGGAAGTAGCCAATAGGTAAAGAAACAAGTACAAGAATTTCCAATCTATAAAGAACTACCACAAGCCTTCTATTCCAAAACATTTGTTGTAGGAAACTGAAATATTTTTTAAGGGGAGAGAAAAAGTGAATCAGTTCAAGGCTTGAACCATGAATAATACAAAGCTGCAAGATTATATGGGTCAATTTGGTGGTCCATGGCTCAATTTTTTGGTACTTCAACTTTGACAATGTGTATAAACAGGCAAGTAACAAGAGGTGCAACAGAAATATCAATGTTATTTCATCTTATCATTAGAAAATTATTTAAAGATGGGGTTATATCCTGTGTTAATAGTCTGAAGATGGTTATGTCGCACCTCTAATGCTTTTCATGTTAGTCACCTTCAGAATCAATGCCCAAACACTCTAATTCACGCTTTTCATCATATGTACTTAACTATGCACACCAACTAACCTCATGGTCATGATTCTAAGACAGACGTATGTCTATGTGCATATTTGCATGAAGACAACAAGTGGAGATAAAAAGAGATGAAAATGACTAACATAAAGACAAATTCCCAAGTCCCAACCATCATTCACAGTACAGTAGTGTAACCATATCTTTTGTTGCAAGACATGCAGCAGAAACCAGAGGGGTTTACAAACAAAAGTAAATTCATGTAGTCATGTCTAGTCAATTGTGTGTAAGACAAACCCTCTGACCAAAGAGTCATTGGCCCAACAGTACCTGGGCTACCGGTAGAGCTCAGCCTCCCAGAAGGAAGAGTTCAAACCTCACCAAAGGTGAGGAGTATGCGTAAGCATTTGCTGCATATAAATATTTTATTACTTCTCAAATATAAGAACAAGCAAGCCCTCTGATTCATTTAATATCCAACGCTAGTTACTTCGGTTAGAGGACATGACAGCATAAAACAGGAACATTACTGATTAGTCTGCTCTTTTCCTCCAACCAAGGGGCTCCTTAGATTGTACCAAAGAAGACTCTGTTTATTGATCAAGTGACCGAACCAAAACACAAAATATTCATACAAGATAATAATGAACACTTTCCATGCAAATTTAAACAGATAAATCCTAATGGAAACCAAGCAGGGAATAAACATATACATAAATCCCCAAATATTTTCGCAGAATGGCTGCCTCAATCATCTTATCAACAGAGAGAAACCATTTACTCCAGAAGATACATAATCAGTCAATGATAAGAAGGATAAATAAATCTAACTTACTAAACCACCATCCTTACAAAGCACAGCCTTCATGATTCAGAAAATAATCTGTTAACCTAGAGCTTTCCAGCATTCAGAATATGCAATTACTTAACAAAATAATACATATCTCTTAATAAAATTGAACAAAAAAAGCTATACAGCCCAAAACACAATAAACAATCAAATTTGCAAAAATCAATTATCGTTTTCTCCTGCATCATTCATCGCGAATGGATATGTACAGACAGACACACAGTAAGAGCAGAGAAATCGTTCATTGCATTAATGTTACGAAATAACACGAATAGAAGTTACGAGCGAAGATTTATATAAGAAAAATTACCCATCCCAAGGGCAGAAAGCTCGACCTCATTATGCTGCTGCATATACCTCTGCAATTAAACACCATCAAATTATCTCCAAACACGTAATTTCTTAGATCAGGAAGAACAAAAACCAAATATGCATTTTTCTTACCTTAGCGAGATTAACATAGAAGAAAAGGGGCTTTTTAGTGTTGGAAACTTGAATGCGGTTCTTCTTGTGAGAATCGTTTGTGATGCTTATGTTCTGAACAGCCTCTGTAATCTCCTCCATTGTTTGTTTGTTTGAAGAACGAAAAGCTTTAACCCTAACCCTAGAAAACACACGAGAGCAGCGCTTGTTAAATTGATATAGGTTAGGAAGAAAGGGGGATTGGGTCGTTGGGATGGATCAAATATTAATTTCCAATTTTACCCCTTTTATTTTAGAATTTTACACCCCCTTCCTGGTCGTTTACGGGTAAGCATTTACTGGTAAAAGTTAATACTCTAACTTACATTATCAGGTAAGATTACAATCCATCAAAATAGTATCGTATGCAACAATTTATCCAGTAATGCTTACTGGATAAGAGTCGTCACCCTCATTTACAAGGTAAGACTCTTCATATTTATCATCGTTCTTTTTTTTAGAATGGTGTCACAGGGTAAGCCTGGTCTGATCCCAGTAAATTTGTAACTGCTGAAGATTAGTCCTGATAAACTCAGTGGTCACAATTGTTGTGTACATCTAGAATTTTACCACATGGGTTGTGGCTACAATCGTTCTAACCGGTATGATTCTCGGTTTTTGTCATGTTTATCTGGTACGGTAAATGACCTAATAAGCGCTTACCTGGTAAGGTTTCGTAAACAACCCCTGAGTGTTTACTTTATTATTTTAGTTTGTTCCAAAATAAGTGTTCACTTTGAAAACTAAATGTCTAGTTTTTCATGTTACCATTAATTATGAGATGGAGAAAATTTATGTCAGTATAATTAAGGGTAAATTTATTCTTTTGTTAATTAAAAATGTAATAATTACGTATTTCTAAAACTATGTACTTTTTCTTTGTGGACATTTATTTTGGAAATGAGTGATTGCTTTTTTAGAAAAACAACCACCGACAAATCATGTTAACCAAAAATGGTTACAAGAAAAGGGTCTCGATCTGGGTTGGGTCAGGTTAGTCCCAAAATGGGTCTCTGTCTGAAGAAACCAGCTCGTATTTGGGTTGGCCATTTCTGATTTTGGAAAACAAAAATACTAAGACTGATCTTAGGCCCGTGAGTCAGTTCCCGTCCTTCATAATCAGTTTCAAATCGGTCCCGATTTTTAAAATAAATTGAATGTTAATTGTTCCTATACAAAAATATTATACGATTTTTTTATAACTGATTTTAAATTGAGCATTGAAATCACATTAAATGCTACATTTACTTAAAAAAACTTGTACTACAGTTTATAAAAATGTTTAATAAATTTACATAGAAAAAAATTGGTCCTTGTGTACAACTAGTCCCAGGACGGGTCTCATTTTTCCGAAAACCTCACAATCAGTTCAGGACCATCAGACTATAATCGGTCCTAGTGGGTCCTAGGACGAATCGTGTTTGACATCTCAACTTGTGAGTTGCAACGTATTCCTTTATTTGAAATATAGATGTACAAAGAGCTCGAAGCCCAAGTCATGCCTAAAAAGCCCGATAGAGTTTAAAAAATAAGTCTGTAACAATCCGATATGAACCGGCCCAAGTCCTAAGTTTACACCCAAAGCCCAGACACATACCGAAAAATCACGAACATTGTGCATCTATACTTTGAACTTCCAAAGCATATTTAGACATATCAAACTTAATCGGACTCGTTATAATTCCTGGGCCCGGGCCCGGGCCCGATGTGGGATTTAGACTCATTTTTGCATCTCTAATTCACTGAATCGTTGGTAGTAGTTAAGGAAAATAAATATAAGGTGTACTTGATAAACATATAAACGGTATACGTTTTTCAGAGTACTTATAATCAAATAATTGAAATATTGCTTTTCATGTTGTATGAAATGTTTCTGAATACTGAACTTTGCATTTCAGATATTAGGAGTGTATAGATATATAGTTTCAGTATTACTATCGCAATTCTAAGATTTGGAACTATGATCAGATACCATGCATGTTACATTAAACAAATACTTTAGGTAGTGTTTGGTACGCAGACTAGATGGGACATGACGGGATGGGACAGGACGGGACGGGACAAGACTAATTGTCTGTCCTATGTTTGGTACGACTAGGACATGACAGGACAAAACTATTAAAATAACCATATTACCCCTAAATATTGTTCAATGTTATTTTATATCATATAATGATTGTAAAATGACAAAAAATCAATCAAAATATTGTCGTATTAACTTTAGTCTCATGTTGTTCCACCTTTTTTGGTGGAACAAGAAATATCAAGATTTGTCTCACTAAAATTAAAAATAGTCTCACCTTGTCCCATGTTTTTTTTGTCCATGACATGCCAAACATGGGACTATTTTTTTTTTTGTCCCGTCCTGACCCATATAATCTGCATACCAAACGCACCCTTAAGAGCCCATTTGGTTTGCGGAAGTTGTCGAGCCTACGTTTTGTTTAAAGGAAAGTCCAGAATTGTCCGAAATTGAAATCCCAGAATTTCAGTGAAATCTTACAAACATTTGATTTAAAACTCCGATGGGGTAGTTGTTATTTCACGAAATTTCTTGTGATTTTGTTTGAAGTAACGTTTTAAAACATATTAAAAACATGTGTTTTATAACACTTAGGGCTTATTTGTTTTTTCAAAATTACCTCTTAATATCTCTGAAGTCTGATTCATTCAGACTTTGGGTATTAAGATAATTTGTTTTATATCTAAAATTAGAGCTTAAAAGCTCTAAATATCCTCTGAGATTTTAAGTGGTAAATGTATCCCTTAATACCTCTTAATCCTAATCCGCCATCTATCGAATGGTTCATATTTTGGACGCTGGAATAGATTTGTTAGCAAAAACTATTATATTTTTGCACTGGTTTGACTAATTCAGACTTCAGATGTAAAAACAAACAATCTTACTGATCCAGATTTCAGACTTCAGGACCACCTCTTATAAATCAGAAGTGAAATCAGATTTCAGACTTCAACACCTCTTAAAAAACAAACGTCATCTTAATTAAGAAAAGGTAATTTAAATTAATTTTACAATTATTTATATTTTGTTTTATAAATTATCTAAAAACAATAAAATTCAATTTCATTTCAAATCCTACAAACCAAACATATCAAAGATTCAAAACCCTTCACAAAATCAAAATCCCTCAAACACAATCCGTCAAACATACGCCGCTTAAATGCATCAAAGGTAACAGTTATTGCTATATCACCTAATAAGGAAAAAGAAAAGGGATAACCACAAGGGCGATGCCTGATTGGTTTGAGCTTGACTCCAAAGATCAAAAGTGCCAGGAGGTCCCAGGTTCAAATCTAAGGAGGAATAAAAATCCCCTTGTGGCCACGGAGATTCAAATGCGGTGACTATGAGCTATCTGCAAAACATGTGGTCATCCTAGGATTAGTTCGCTCGCATACCGGGTTGAATATCCAAGTTAATAAAAAAAAAGGGATGAGAGCCGTAACAGAAAGGTTCGGCATCTTATAAACAACCTCAACAACATATGCACGTAAGCTGTGTTAGATTATTCTGTTCGATTCATTTATCTAATGTTCATAAACAACCGAGTCCCGATCGATGAGAGCCAATAAAACATATCATTTTATTTGATATTCATAAATATTAATTGGAACTTAGGATGGTGAAGAACACAAGAATTAGAATATATTCCAATTCACAAAAGTAAATAAAAAGTATACCCAACTTTATCTGATTAATGTTTTTTACATATATATACTAGTTGTGTACCCGCGCAATGCAGCGGAATATAAAATGTTTTAAATTTCAAAATATCAAATCTTTTCAAGATGTTATAAAGTCTGCTACAGTTGTACCTATATTAGATTCAAATAACCATCCATCCAAAACATAGGTGGTGGTGTTGGTAGCTTTTGCAATCATCCTATAAAAATAGAACAAATCTTCATATGKAAAGTCTATAATRACAAAGTCTTTTTTAGAACAAAAARATGTTTTAAATAAATTTTTTGGGTAACATAACCTAATTTACAGAAAGAATGGGTCCATCCAAAATTATACACATAACCTATTTTATAGAAAAATTACAAATTTACACACAAAACCTATTTTACAGAAAGTATGTGTCCATCCAATATATTGAGTACTCTTTCGAATGAGACCTAAATTTACACTCACATACATCGTTCAAAACCGAACTCAAAATCAGACTTACTTCAACCCTATCATCATACTTTTTTGAAGACTAATCACTTATGCCTTCTTCATTGTCTTTGTTGTATACCTTCCATCATTCACATGTAGAAAAAATTGCCATTTTTCCGGGAGAAGAGAGCTCCCGAAGATCCTCATCCCAKAACATGTAGTCATTTGGATCCACATTATACAATTTCCTAAGAGTCCTGAAACAATACCAAAAAATATGAACCAAATATTTGTATTAGCTTAACCGAGAATAAAGCTAGATTTTACAAGATCTAGCAGATACAAAATGAACATTATTACCAAAAAAAAATTCAAATATACCATAAACTTTGCAAATGATATAAAACTTTCAAGGGCAAACATGAAAACCAATAGGAAATAGTCTTTCCGGTTAAAATCACATGACTGAAAAGGTGGAGTGTGTTTAAAGTCGACTGTTAAGCCATTTGTAAAGGCTTTTAAACCCACTTCAGTAGCACGGACTAAAAAAATTGCAAGGTTGCAGGAAGGATCTCTAAGGTTTATTAATGCAGATCCAAAATAGAATAAGCCCATTGTATTTTCACCAAAACCTTTACAAGCAGTATTCATGGTTGCTACTAATTATAATAAGCCACCTCTATTGCCATCCCTCCCTCCAATGAAGCCAATGCCACTTACCTTAGCAAAGTCTAATCCAAAGACCACTAAGAACTTCAAATACATTCCAATAGATGTGAGAGTCGAGGAAATAACAAAGGGTCTATCTTATTACTGTGATCAACCATATGACAGACAACACAAGTGTCGATTYAAAGAGCAACAATTGTTTATAAATGAAATTCTGAGTGAGGAAGAAGAATATGATTGCATCAGAATGGAAATGGAACAAGAAGATCMAGACCCTTGTATTTCAGTAAATGCTCTTTTAGGAAATCAACACTTCCATACAATGTGTTAAATGAATTGTCAAAGGGTAACCTCAAAAGATACTGATAGATTTTGAAAGTACCCA